TCTGTATCTGTATCTGTATCTGCATCTGTATCTGTATCTGTATCTGTATCTGTATGCAGATGCAGTTTGCCTTTACATTAGTATCTTTAAGTGAATTTGTCTCAGTAACTGCAGATGTTCTTGCATCTGTATCATTCCCAGTACCCTTAAATGTATCTGTATCTGTAAATGTGGCTGTAAATGTATCTGGATTTGTAGCCGAATGTGATTCACTTTACGAGCTGTCGCTCCCGCTCTTTATTTTGTTCTTGATATTTTTGGTACAGCTGCTGGAGCCGCGCTGTAAATGTTTTTCATGCCGTTATTCTTATTCGTGGCGGATGCCTCAAAGCGAACGAAAGAAAACAAGTAACACGAAACTATCGATGGGGAGTGATTAACTAGCGGGATACTTTGTACTTATAGTACAACTTATATAGAGGGAAAAATGAGAGAAACTAAATGAGAATGAGAATGAGAATGAGAAAAGATTGTTAGCATCTGTAAAGACTAGGTGAGAGAACGCGAGAGAGAACGAAAGAGAGAGAGAGAGAGAGAGAGAGAGAGAGAGAGAGAGAGAGAGAATGGGAATGAAAATGAGGCTTAGAGATATAGAAATACAAAAATAAAATATCTTGAGATTACTGATCTTTGGATTCGGAATACTTTCTTATCTGAGAGGCTTACATAAAAACCTGGACGTGCCTATACACCCAACTCGTAACTATTTTCACTGAGTGCAGGGTATAAAAATAAACCAAATCGCTTTCAATGCCCCTTCATACACACTCACACTCACACACACACAAACACATACATAAAAAGACAGACGAAAATAATGCGAGTTGTGAAGAGTACTTCGGATGGTCTCTCGTCTAGTTACGATTGGGTAGCAGCGTTCGGGGTTATCTTTGACTCAATAACGGAAGACAAAATACTAAAATCCAACTACGCCCTCATGCATCGACTAGCATATACAAGTACACAAATATATAAGTAGACAAATATATATATATATGTATGTGTACATATATATCACTGGAATGCAATATTATGTAACATGTCATCCTCTTTACTTGCATAGGGAAACTTCATTTGTAATCTGAAGTATTTTATATTCACTTTTAAAGATTAAACTGCTTGTTCGTAGCTCTAAAACGGTGAGGTCAATGATTTCTTTTCAGTTTTGAGTAGACGAGTCTACTTTTGGATATATAACACACTCTATAAAAATTGAAACGTTTTGCGTTTATACGAAGAAGGACGAACAGATGGAAGAATGAATGATCGGAAAGGCGAACGAACGGAATGACAAAAAACGCAAGGAAGTACGAATAGATACTACGTTGACTGAGTACTGACACACGGAAGTACTCACAAACGTGTGGACTGAAGGACATGTGACTGGCCAAAGGACGAAGAGAGGACTTAAATGGATATTACAGAACCCCGATATGCTCGCTTTATACAGCGTGAACGAGAATATGACAGCTATGTTGACATAATTATGAAGATGCGAAATGAAAACATATTTAGTAAACTATAATGAAAATCTACTTAAAGTAATATGCAAAATAATTATTTCATTCTCAGAAAGCAAAGAAATTTTGCAATTTTGTTGCGTAGTTAAAAACCAAACGCAAACAAAGCCAAAAGTAAATGTTTGTACATACATACATACATATGAATGTATATGCATGCAAATGTATATATAGTTTGTATAGTATATACAGATATTTGTAACGATGTATAGAGCTCTCTGTATGCTCTGATGATCGATATCTTTGCACTTTATAGCTATTGTCTTTGCATCTGCTGCTGTTTCTTTTCCTACTCTTCATCGTCGTCATCTACTTGTTCTTCTTCTTATATTGCGCTGTATTTTCTTATATTTTCACCCAGTTGTTTTTCTTTTTATTTTCAGTTGGTTTTCTTTTATTCATTTTTTTTTTTGCTGTTTTGAAAGAAAATGAGTACAAGAGTTATTTTTAGAATATATTTTCTTTAAGATTTTTTACTCGTTAACATTTGCCTTACGCTTCGTATTTCGTAGTAGTTGCTCTTCTTCTTCTTCTTCGTGTTGTTGTTGTTGTCGCTGTTGTCATCATCATCATCATCATCATCATCATTGTTGTTGTTGTTGTTGTTGTTGTTGTTGTTGTTGTTGTTGTTGTTGTTGCTGTAGCTGGTGACTGTATCTGTGGGGGCCTCTGCTTTGGCTTGTTTGTCTCGTAGTTGGATTTTTAGGATTTGCTTAAGTAACATTAGTTTTCTATATGTGCAGACATACATACATATGTACATACATACATGCACATACATATTTATGCAAGTATATGTATGTGTGTGACGAATTGGAGGAGCCATTTACAGCATGAGAGAGGGGTTGACTTTACAGACACAAAGAGAGAGAGAGAGAGAGAGAAAGAGTGAGCGTGCAAGCGAGCGAGCGAGCGAGCGAGCGAGAGAGAGAGAGAGAGTGAGTGAACGAGCGTTGGTTCTGTGCAAACGAGACGCTCAATAAGATTTATAGTTGCTATTTTTAAATACTGGCATATTAACAACCGTAGGGATCGCGCGTACACACACACACACACACACACATACACACATATGTAAAATAGTACACTTGATATATAAGTAGCATGCATGCATACATAAACACACATACATACACAGATATGTGCATGTACACAGTTGGCTGGCTGGCATACTATATGCATTCAAAAGCAAGTAAGTGTAAAAGAGATGGGCTATGCTCGACTCACAGCTGACCTGTAATAATAGCTGCGGTTAAGAAAGCTGCTGTGTGCAAAGAAAATATGATAAAAGAGATTCATTTTCATTTTTCTTTATTATTTATTATTATAGTATTAGTTAATATTTTATTAGTATTAGTATTTCAATTCCAATCTAGAATTTTTCAAAAAGGCTTTTGTAATATACATATTTAGTATTAGTACTAATGTATATTTCCATAAGAAAATTTTCTGTATTTATTTTTCAGTCATATATGTACATATGCCTTCACAAATATTATCTATATTCAAATATTAATTAGAATGAATTTTTTTTTGTCAAGTTCCTAGCTCCTTCTGAGTTCACCTACACACCCATTGGCCATTTTTGCATATTTCCTATAAATATTCACGAAAATAATATAAAAAATAATTTCGCCATTAAAGTTACCGCTAATTTAAGTATTATCTGAGTAAAGTTTCAAAATGTATATAAAACAATTTCTTTAAATTGTTTAAGTGTCTAACAAAAATAAAAGCTGAGAAATCCTATACACTCCTCTTGTCTTTGGCAAGTAGAGTATATACAAAATTGTTAGAGTTGTAAAATTTGTTAGGTTTAATGAACCCGGAAAATGCGCACAAAAATGTGTGTAAAAGCTAAAAACAGTTAATGAGAGAGCTTCATAAAGAGCAAAAGAGAGTGAGAGTGCCCGTGTGCGTGTGTGTGTGTGATAGAGAAAGAGAGACAGAGGTGAGAGAGAGAGAGAGAGAGCCATTAGAATTAAAGCATTTCTAATGCAGATATAAATAAATGTAAGAAGGGTCAACACAAAGCGCCATCTATCGTGCAGCAGCCGGACAACACACACACACACACACGGTGCATACCCATGCATTGGTCACAAGGACACAAAAAGTGTCGCATGATTAACCCTGAAAATGGCTACGTAAAAAAATACACAAGCACACGCACACACATGCACGCATACACACAGAGAGATGTGTTGATTCATATTCGAATTGAATATAGTGAGGTGAGCCCCCAAACGTGATAACAGGTGTGTTTGCTGTCTTATGACACACACGCCATTATTTTGCATAGCCTTGAGGGGTGAGCCGTTATAAAGAAAGTGAAAGTACACACAAAGTGAGTGCGTGTGTCTGTGTTAGCGAGGGCGCAAATTTGACGCTTGTGCGTCTGCGCGATTGGTCGCTGCATCTGGCGTTGCCTACTTTCGAGCGTCGCAGCTGCTTTCGCGGCAGGATGTGCGAGAGCAAGCGAGAGGGAGAGTTTGCACACCGCATCAAAAACAACAACAACGAGCAACTCTGTTATAGATACACACACATGCATATGTGTGCTTGTGTGTGGGTGAGCGTGAATGTGAGTGTGTATGTCTATGGGAGTCGAAAAGCTTTGCAAGCCTGGAGTTGCCAGATCCTGTCGTTTGGTCACGCTAAAGCATGTATGTGGTCACCGCGACAGGTCTGGCAACAACTTGTTAGGCAGCGCGCAACAAACTTCGCGCTCTCACTTGCACACGCACAGCTGAAGCTGTAAAGGGCAGCGGCGAAAGCTTTTTCGCTCTTTCTCTCTTCCTTTTTGTCTGTTTTTTTGCATGTGTGTGTGCGTGTGTGTGAAACGCCAAAAGCAACTGTATAGGAAGAAGCAGCAGCAGCAGCACTACCAGCAGCAGCAGCACTCGCCGCAGCAGCAGAAGCCAACGACGACTCTAACGGAACTGAAACGCGTATCTTTTTTTCCTCGAACGAAAAACGTAGAAAAAGAAGAAAAAAAGGAAAAAGAAAGTTATACACACTGGCAAAGATTGCAATCATTCATTCACAGTTCGAGTCCGGAGTCCTGCTCAAACTGTAGCTAAAAAATTCGCGCGTGCTGCAAAAAATACAAAAAATCAAAGAGAAAGGAAATTCGCATAGAAATAAAATCAAATTAGGAGCAAAGTGCGCTGTGCTGTACGAGCAAGTGGAAATTTTTTGTTGTTTTTTTTTTTAGACCTGTAACTGGTTTGGTTTTTTCCCTTTTTGTGTAATTGTGTATATATGTGAGTGTGTGGTATTTTTTCGTAAATGCTTTTTATCAATTATTCGCAACAGTGCGCTCAAGTATGTGTGTAGTTGTGTGTGCATGTGCAATTACAGCATTTGCATTCCTGCGGAGTGTGGTTGTATGTGTGCATGTGTATGTGTGTGTGTGTGAGTGTGAGCCACGTGAATCAAATGCGCGCAACAACACTAATACACATATACAAATATCGACACACGCACACACACACACACATGCGCCCGCACGCACATACAACAAAGGCAAAGGTTGTGAAAGTGACAAAAGTGAAGCGGAGTCCGAATTTGGGCAGTAGGGCAGCTGCGTCAGCGTCAGCGCCGACGTCGACGTCGGCGTCGGCATCGTTGCTAGCTTTTCTGTTGCTGCCTTTTTCGCCGTGCGTGAAAGTGAAAGTGGATTTTGTGCGCTAACTTGTGTGTGTGTGCAGGAAATTGAAATTGAAATTCAAATTTGCAGATGTGAATGGCAAACAACAACAACAGCAACAAATAGCTTTAAAACTGTTGAATATAGAATGACGTTGCAGACAAAAATCAATGTAAAATATAAAGCGATAAAAGCAACAGCAGCAACAATAACAACAATAGCAACAACAAAAACAACAATAAGCGCCCGTCTGCGCCGCCGTTGACACGCACGCACCCATACAAACAAAGCAGACAGTCAGACACACAGACAGCACACGCAATCATAAAAAACACGCACACACATACACAGACACACACAAGCACACACATACATTCAGGGCAGTTAGGCCTAGCGCTGCGTGGGCGCAAAAAGGAGCAGCAAATACAAATTGTGCACAAAAACAACAAGCAGCATAGCGCAACAGCGAGCAGGAGCCGAAGTTGAAGAAGAGGCAGCGCAACAGCAGAGCTGATTAAAGCTGTGCACTAACAGTTAAACAAAAACATTCGCGAACACACAAAAAAAAGTGCCATTCACACACAATGAAGCCATCGGACTTGCTGCTGGTGTTGCAAAAGGTAAGCAAAGAAAATACTTGAAAAAAAAAAACAAAAAAACAGCTACAAATTGAAATGCACAGCGAATTGCGCTGACAAGTGACACTTGTCACGCGGCGAAAAATGGCGTAGACAAATGAAGCATTTGCCTAGGCGAATTTGATGTTAAATGGGCATTATAATAAACGCCCACGCACACACACGCAGGCTTGGGCTTACATGTGTATGCATGTGTGTGTGTGTGTGTGTAGACTTATGCAAATCCATTTTGACTGCGAAGTCTCGCTGCTCACACACAAACACCCACACACACACACACAGACATACACAAAAGCCAGTACGTGGCAAGTACGACGTCGACGACGAGCGCTAAAGCCGAAGTGCAAAAACAAAAAAAAGAAAGGAAATACAAAAAAAAAAAACACACACACACACACAAAAACACCCTGTGGGAGCAAGCGGTTCGGGGTTAGGGCATGCGGAGCAACAGCGAGTGGGCGGTTAACGTGGGGGGGTTTGGCTGAGTGCTTGTATGGGAGTTTCAGCATTTTGGCTCCGCTGGGTGTTATCTTTATGGCTGCGCTCAACCGAGTTGCCCAGTTACCCAGTTTTTACAGTCCCCCAAACGCACAGAGCGTATATATTTATATAGCCTCTGCTGTATACACTATATACAATATATACTATATATATATATATATATATGTATATTGTATACTATATACTCGTGTACATATGTCCACTTTGGCCAGCCACTAGGTCGCTGGCTCTTACACTTCCCTTTTTTTTAATGGCCCACTCCAGAAGGCTATTACTAGCAACAACAATGAGAGAGAACAACATGAAGTAGAAGAATCAGCAGGAACAGCAGGAGCAGGAGCACCGCTCGAGCTGACCGATTCGCTGCAGTGTATCCGAATATGTGAAAAACTACTGAGCGGAAAGCGAAAAAGTTTTGATAGTTGCTCAGCAAGTTACAAAATTAATTAAATGAAATATTATATACGCACATGTATGTATATCTCTATAGTAAGTTATTGCCAAAAATTTGCACAATTTGCATGGAAAGTTTTACAACGATTTGCCACAATTATGGATAAAGTTTACCCTGGGATTGTTTGCAGCAACATTGGCCAAACTAAATTTAAATTCTCTTGAAATCTGAGCTTAAGCAACTAATTTGGATTTAAGCTGCATAACTGTTTTGTGCATCAATCTTACTTTAGATCAGTTACTCAGATCAGTTAAGCAATTAAGACGAAGATAAGATAAGGATCGCTCAATCAGTGAGTCCTTCAGTCAGTCAATTATTGAAAGCTAGAGCAAATGCAACTAGCTCTCTCTCCCTCTCTCTCTCTCTCTCTCGCTCTCTCTCTCTCTCTCGCTCTCTCCCTCTCTCTCTCTCTCTCTCTCTTATGCACGACTCATCAGTCAGTCATTCACTAGTCAGCCAGTCACTCATTCAGTCAATCATTTACTAGGCCAAAGGGAAAGATTTTCATAGATGCATATACAATGCAGAATACCTAGCATGGTAGGCATGCTATCTATCATATCCGTTAGATATATGTATATATATATAGGTATACATATATTTACAATATATTCCTTATACACATATTGATTCAAATCCACATATTTGCGCTTTTGTGTTCACTTTCTATATTATTCCATGACCTACTCTTGGTTTACTTACATTTTCTGCTGTTGTTTGTTTAACAATAAGTGACAGCTGATTTTGATCAGTGTAGGAAACAGCTCTGGGGGAAACTCTGGCAAACTGTTAACAGTGGCTCAACAAGTAACAAAAGAGTTCAAAATGTCTGTGTATGCATGTGTGTGTGTGCGTGTGTGTGTGTCTATATACGTTTCTATGTGTTCGATGCTATTCTCTAAATATCACTCATACGCACATTACTCATACGCCCCACTGGCCCGTCACAAATCGAAAATAGAATAGCATATTCGTAGAGAAAATCAAAAAAAAAAAAAAAAAAATCAAATGAAAATATTTGCAAACTGGGTATGTCGGTACCGGGTATATCGATTTGATTTGTCAGGTTTGCTTGGACTGGAGATTGAAGTATCTAAATACAGAGATTTCTATTTGCATTACTCGAGTCAAGGTCAAAATTGAAAGAAACTTCTTATGAATGAGAAGATTTCTACGACCTTTAAACAAACCTAAAAATGAAGTCTGCGAGACTTTCCAACACCCAACATTAGGCAGGAAATGGGCAGTATCAAAATTTTAAGAAAAACCGTATGAACTTGAGCATTTTTTAAAGGCATTAGGAGTTCTAGTAGCTTTGAAGCATGGTCTATAAACTAACTTTCGTACACTTTCCAACACTGATCAGCTAACCTATGCCTGAAAATCAACAATATGAAATTTCTCGCTTTTAATTGCTCGTTCAACTTTAGTCGCGGCTTTGCTAATGAGCTTATCATTTAAACAAGTATTATTCTAGCTTATGTAGAACTAAGCTTCCTCAAGGACGATGCATAAAAGCACCAGTAAACCCATTCGTTCTTGCTCTCCCTCACTCCTGTATCTCTTTCCTTCCCCCTCCTCTCTTTCGTTCCGCAATTAGCTTGCAACTTAATCTTCAACAACAACGGCAAAGAACAGAGAAAAAGCGACAAGTTTTATCTAGCGGAGAATAAATAGTTAGCTACTTAAGTACTCAACAATAATCAGGCCATTGAAAATAAATTTGTATATTTAATGCACGCTTCACAGAGCGCACGATCTGGGTATATTAGTTGGTATATTAGCTAGGGTTTTCTTTTCAGTTGCTCTGGCTTTCCTTTTTCATTTGTCCAGCTTTTTCTTTTACTGCTTTAGGGATTTTTTTTGAGGCCTTTGACAATTTTGCTCTTATCCAGTTTTCATGATAATTCATTGATAGGTATTCCATTGTTTCTAGCTATTTTTTGTTCGTTGGTGTTTTTTTTTTTTTCAGTTTTACTCACTTTTCATGTCGAGCTCCTTAAGAGTTTTCCTTGTGGTTATTTCTTGTTCCTGCAGGGCTCTTGGATTTTTAAGAATTTTTCTTCTAGCTTAAATGAATTTCCCTTTCATCCTGGAGCTTTCCGTTAATCGGTTATATAGCTGTTTATTATGTGAGCCTGATTTGAGGGTTCTATATTTGGCTTTTTCCTTTGCCCTCGAAGAGTTATCGTTGAAGTCGTTCCTAAATTCTTTAAAATATTTCCTTAAAAATCCTTCAGCCTTTTCATTATTTCTTTGTTTTTGGCTTCACCTTTGCCTTTAGCAAAACCGTTCATTTTTCAACCTTTTTTCATCAGCTGACCTTCTTTCCGCTGCCGATAGAGTATTCCAGAGTCATCGAATGGGGCTCGCAGCGCATTTCACGTTAGCCTTGAGCTCAGTTGGCGGGCAGCTTGGCTTGAATTGAGTTTCCAGTTGATGGCATTTGATGAGCAGCAATGCGGGTACAGCTTGTGGCAGAGTGTGGTGGCGCAGGGGCAAGTGCAGCAGGAGCAGAGGCAGGATCAGGGACAGCAGCAGAGGGTAGTGCGCTGAGAGAATGGGTGTCATCCTTCAAGAGCAGCCGGCAGATGATGACAAACAAAGCGCCTGTTCGACTCTTGTTTGCCATTCAGATCTGGTTCTGGTGATGGGGCTGGGGCTGTGGCTACGGCAACGACTGTAGCTGCTGTTGATGTTGATGTTGATGTTGTCACAGCGCTGCTGCCATCCACTCTGCCCGGCCCCGACACCCCCCCCCCAGCCATGGCAATTCTCCGGCTCTGGTGACCTTTTTGCTTTGCAGCACCATTAATAACAACCACTTCAAAGGGCCAGGAGGACGACACGGCCAGGGGCTGAAAGGAGAGACTTTAGAGCAAGTGCTTGTTGCATTTGGAGCAGATAGAGTGGAGGCGGTAGTGCGAGTGGGAGTGACAGTGGCAGTGGAAGAGGGGGCACAGCGAGTTAAAGTGGATGTGGAAGTCGGAGTACGGAAACGGCAATAGGGCAAGTTGCTGTTTAGCATACCAATGAAGTGGTTATATAACAAGCCCCGAGCACCAGCACCAGCACCAGCTCCAGCACCAGTACTGCCAGCAGCCACGCCCACAGCTGCAAAACACTGAGCTCAGTCTATAAATATGCACAGAGCTGTGCATGTGTAGATGCACTGAGCGAAAACAACTCGAAGAAGATGAAGACGAAGAAGAAGTTGATATTTCTATGCCTCCAAGCTCTTATAGATGCATATGAATGACATGCAGATATTACAGATATAGATATAGGATACATTTAGATGTGTGCTTTTTCTGCCAGTGTACCTATATATAGATATGTCCTTTACCGAGCTGCTGCTGCTGCTGCTGCTGCTGTTGTGCTGCTGCGTAGGCCGCAGAAAACTTGTTGCAAATATCGATTCACGCCGTGGCTCAAAGCCTTGCAGAGCCTGCACACACAGACAAATGGTGAAAGGTCGTGGGAGGGGTGTGGGGGGAGTTACGTGTGGGCTTTTGGGCTTCGTGTGACTGCGGGCCTGTTGCAGGCATTTTCAATTTGCGCTTTGGCATTGAGCGCACTCGACTTTTAACAGCTTCCTTTTTGCCTTTCACATTTCATTTTCGCATTTTCTTTTTTCCTCTATTTAATATATTTTTTGTTGTAGTTTTTGTTTGATATTTGATTGGCTCGCATCACTTGAGCGCCACTTTCATCTTTTATCATATAAATATGTATAGATATATATAAGATATATATATGTATATATTGATTTGCTTTTTATATATTGCGACTGACATCCACTTGACTAGGATATCAATTTATTGAATTATTGTTAGCAACTGCGGCTGCGGCTGCTGCTACTATTTTTACGACAGCATCTAATTTCTCTTTCCACTTCCTGTTCCTCTCCTTCGTTTGTATCTGTGCCGCCGTCTCTTCTGTCGCCTCCTGTCGTTGCGCCATCGATTTCGGGCAGGTCAAGTTCAGGCTGCCCTTGCCGCCGGGCGTTAGCTCCACAACGCTCCTGCCGAAGCTAATACGTACGAAGGATGTGAAGCAGCTGCAGGATGGCAATGCACAGCCCACAAAGCCCAAGCTAACGGTAAGTGCAAAGAAAATTTGTACAATTAATGAGAGAGATATAGATATAGATATAGATATAGATATAGATATAGATATAGATATAGATA